GCCAGACGGCAGCGGCCAGGGTGTCTAACGTTGCTTTTGGAACCTTATAGAAAAAGAGGGCGTAGCAGCAGCTGAGGTGATGGCCACAGAACAGTCCTGCTGCCCTGTAGACTGAGCACAGGTCATTGGCCATGGCTTCTCGCTGCGCTGTCAAATTAGAGGCCCAGGAGTCGTAGCGCAGGTCATTGGCCATGGCTTCTCGCTGCGCTGTCCCCGGCGCCGCCCCGCCTAGGCATCGGCTAGGCCAGGGTTGGCGGAAAATATGTAATAATACATTGATGTTACGATGTGGCAAATCCACGCTTTTGTGGCAACTACCTGGTTTCATACCATCTGGAGTTTTGGCACCAGGTACTTTCCACATCGTGGACGCCAGGGATTTTGCAAAAGAACTGGCAGACTTTGTGACCCTTGCGAAAGCCAATGCTGTCAGCGTCGGTACTTTCAGAAAGTCAAGAGTCAAGAGCCTTAGACAAGCCAGGTACCTTCAGACTTGCTGCCCGCGGACCAGCTTAGCATCTCGCAGAGGTGCGCAGACACCGAAACTCCGACTTTGCTGACTGCCGGGACTCCTGACTTTCGCACAGGTTGGATGAACTGCGCGCACAGGGTGTCAATTGGCTTTCGCCAGATGTCTCGCTTTGGCATGTTTTTGCATTCATACATTACTATATATATATATATATTTATGTTATGTATTTATTTGATGTTTTTGGCAGAGGATTAAGTCTCTGAATCTCTCAGCGACGTTAGATGGTGTCGCGCGAAATGCACAGATATGCGAAATCAGCGCTCAGCTGTTTGGATGGGAACTTGAATGCATTTCAGAAAAGTAATGTGTGGACATTGCTCTGTGCTGGAAGCCAGGATGCATTGATCCAAGATGAGGTGCTCCGCCCGGATCCCTGGCCGATTTTGCGCGGGAATGCAAATCATCACAAATGATGCGTTTTTTTCCCACCAGAAAAACTTCTGGCGTCTGCAGCATGCTGCAGCAAGGTGCAAATCCAGCTCACTATGTCAGCATCTGAGGATGGAAAGTGCCGCTGTGCTGCTTTGTCAAGCATGGGTTTTGCTGCTTCACAAATTCCTATAGAGCTGCGGGTGGTCCCGCAACCTCATCTTCAAAGGGGAGAGCTCCGATAAACGCCCCTGTGACCGTGGCGTTTGTCAATTTACACGCAGCTTTCACCATGTGCGAAGTCGCGTGATCAGAGGTTTTGGCTCCACGGTTGTCGACAGGTCTTGGTGGTGGCAGATTGCTCCAAGTTGACCTTGCAGAACCAAGGGAGGCCAGGCTGGTTGTGTCGAAGGCTGCAGGAAGTACCAGGAAGTACCATCCCAGCCTGATCAGTGCCTTTGCTAAGACCAAGCTGGAATAACAAGGAACACAAGAAATGGCTAGAGCAAGGCTGAATACCTGCAGCAGCTAAGAATTTCTTTAATTTGTCCATGGCTTCATCATTTCGCAGGCATAGGGCCTGTAGGGATCAACAAAAAGTAACTATTCAATCAAAAAAACAATCACAGAATCGAAAGAAAATACTTTCCTAATCAGCTGGTCCTCTAGTCCTTTGGTCCCCTGGTCTTGTGGTCCTTTGGTGCCGTGGTCCTTTGTTCCCCTGCTCCCTGGGTCCCCCGGTCCCCTTTCGTGCCCTGCTCTTTTACTGATCTTGCAAAAATCATTCACCCAATGTTGTCAAAATACCATTCATTGTCCTCCCATGTGCAGTATTACATGTTCCTTTAATGCGTCAACGTAGCTTCCTTTGACGGGCATTCGTGGAACCAACCAAATAGGCACGGCGCTCGCTTGTATGTGGAAAACGCTTCGCCTGTACACGCCTGCAACGACGTGCATGTTGGAAGCATTGCTGGCTGGGCACAACGCCCCCAATTTTTGAAGGACGCAGTGCTTGCCATGACGACAGCAGCCAACGTATCATACCTTTTTTGTGGGCCAACTGAGGCTAAGATTTAGAGGAGGAAGGAACCATTGGACGGAGCATACCTTTGTGGGCCAGTCGGGGGTAAAATTTAGAGGAGGAAGTTACCGTTCCAATGTCGCACACCTTTGGCCACCGGAGGCTAAATGTTGGAGGAGGATGCGCGCTCCTCCCCAAGCCCCCTCCCGTGCCACGAAACCTGCGCATGCTACTGCTACTGCTACTGCTACTCCTACTCCTACTCCCACTACTACTACTACTACTGCTACTACTTTACTACTGCTGCTACTACTACTACTACTACGACTACGACTACGACTACCACTACCACTACTACTACTACTACTACTACTACTACTACTACCACTACCACTACCACTACGACTACGACTACGACTACGACTACGACTACGACTACTACTACTACGACTGCGACTGCGACTGCGACTGCGACTGCGACTGCGACTGCGACTGCGACTGCGCTGCGACTACGACTACGACTACGACTACGACTACGACGACTACCACCACTACCACTACCACTACCACTACCATTACCACTACGACTCTACTGCCACTGCTACTGCTGCTGCTACTGCTACTACTACTACTACTACTACGATACCACTACTACTACTACTACTACTCCTACTACAGTACTACTGCTGCTGCTGCACTACTGTTGCTGCTGCTGATGCTGCTACTACTACTACTACTGCTACCACTCCTACTACCCCGCGACTTACTACTACTACTACTACGACTACTACTACGACGACTACTACTACGACTACGACTACTACGACTACGACTACGACTACGACGACTACTACTACGACTATTATTATTATTATTACTACTACTACTACTACTAGTACTAGTACTAGTACTAGTACACTACTGCTACTACTGCTGTACTACTACTTCTACTTCCGCTACTACTTCCTCCTGCTACGACTACGACTACGACTAGGACCACCTCCACCGTCACCACCACCAACAGTCCTAGTACGGAAAACAGTGATTGCTTTTGACTTGTCAACTAGTACTGCACTTTCTATTTATTTGTTATATATGTTATTTTGGAGGCGGGAGAGTTTATGTTTTGATTGGTTATAAGATGTTTATTGGTGGCTCGCATAAGTGGCAGCAAGGAACACTATTTGACCATAGAAAATATCCATATATTTTCATTTTGTTGAAAACAGCATGCACTTGCACGAACTTGAGGCTGGGAAGGATAGAAACATATGAAAACTGTGCATGCTTGACATGTCGGCTATGGCCCATCAAGAACACCTTATATCCGGTAGAAAGGTAGACCAAAGCCTTTGGTTCCGGGAGTGTTTGTTCGAGCCACACCCACACCCATATCAAAGTGCAAACCATTTCTTAGCGCAGGTCCTTTCACGACTTCTATGTTTCCTCTTTTGCAGGAACCATAGATGTAGCACGTGATGTTGACTTCGTTTGTCAACGAAATGTTGCAGAGAAGGAAACAATTTACAGCATTGGCTGGAGTGATCACCATGTTGATGGAGGGACAGCAGGCCGCAGATGAAAGGCTTCAGACCAAAACATTTTTGTTGGGGTTTGTTCATTCCAGAAACGGCACATTCCATGCAGAAACCAAGACATGTTTGACTCAGGTCGCACAACAACGTCGAGACTTCCTCAAAGAGTTTCAACCTCTGATACTTCTTGGTCGGAGAGTGATGCAACGAATCACAAGACCCTGCTGGGTGTTTAGACTATATATAGCCCAAATAGGTCATTGGAGTGCTTACACCTTGGGGGCTCTGATATGAGAAAGTGAAAAGGGGTACGGTACAAAATATTCTTGGTCGGGAAAACTCTGCTGAGGAAGCTTACCCACGACGCCGGCAACTTATGAGCAAGCGACACTACACTTGTCCTTCTTGCCAAAAGACTAATGCCACGGGGCCAGGGCAAGGGAGGGAATTCAGTTTGGTTCTCACCGGCTCTCCACCCAGACTCTTCATGAGCTCATGACAATGGCCCACTGTGCCTTCACACGTTGGGGCAATGCAGGGACCCATCCTTCACTGGAAGAAGCTGCATCTTGTGAGGCCGAGACTGCAGCAGCCAGAATAGAACAGCCATCCACGCCAAAGATTCGTGCTTCGCTCAATACCAACATTTGTAGAGCTGAAATGCGCATGATATGTTCCATCCTTCAACCACGTTGACATTGCTCGTGGACCTAGTTTGCTGGCAATGAACGAGCCCTTAAATGCCCAGGCGTGCTAATGGCAGATGCTGAGCAGTTCTACCAAGACCAGGAGTTTTGGAGGCCATGATAATTAATCAAGATTTCTCCTGCCTGAAGCGGGAAAATTACAACCAAATGGCACACAGAAGGAACGCAATCCAGCTTGTTTAGTATATCCGGCCGCAGGCTTTTAAGCTTTGTCACACAAACGTCACTGTCCGTATTAACCCTGTGATAGCCAAAATAAAAATGAATGCTGCCCTTCGGCCAATGGACATGGAATGCCGCACAGGCTTCTTTGGGCGTGCACTGAGTGAGGGCGAGGTGTTTCGCAGTGCTCCACATGCGTCCATGAAGACCAGCAACCAAGGGTTTCAGCCGTGGCTTCTGAATCAATCAATACTGATTAACGCATGCATGGAGCCACTCACTCTGTAGCCTCCAAACATGTATATACTATCCATTAAACTCAACTCGCTTTGATTTAAACACAACGAGAAAGATGTCCAGTTGGTTGAGCTTCAGTCTGTTTTGTGTGACCAACTCTTGGTGCTACCAGTGGCCCGTCCTGTGCCTCATGAAGTGCCGAAAGCAGGTGCCTAACTAACAAGAGTATCGCCCGAATTCAGCTGCAGCTCAAAGTAGTTGTTCCAGGCAGCGGCAAGGCAATCATCCTTTAGATCCAGATCTTGGTGCTTGAAGAGAATGTAGAGGATAACACGTGTGAACTTCAACAAAAGCTTCTTAGACCACCTAAGTTCAAGTCCAGCTTTTCATGCAGGCCCTCCAAAAGGTACCACCAAGCAAACTTGGCCAATTCCACCCATCCAACCCATCTGAATTCACAAGCATCGTCGACCCCGCCATGCCTTCAGGCTGGGAATTTGAGTTTGCTTGTGGTGATTTCTTCCGGTAAATGCAACAGATGCTGGATAATTTTTGTTTGTCTATATAGTAAATTAGAACATGTCTCTGTTTCCCGACAACATGATTCGTCGTACGCTTCTCGGTGATAGCTTGCGGTGAGTGGTGAATGTTTGGATTTATGGCAGGAGCCCACAGGATGAACCCTTATGCTGGGCGTTGGCCGGCACTACCTTGGTTAATTCAAAGAAACATGTCAGGCACGCTCTCTTCTCGATGGTCGAGCAAAGTGTGGTCCCACAGCTTCCGATCCTTCCAGCACATCCTCGACTTGAAAAAGGTGCTGAGCTAGTTGCAATTGCTACTAGTACTGGTAGCTTCTAGCTACTAGTTAGTACTAATGCCCTTGTTACTAAGGAAAGAAACAGCGTCCTCGTCTTAGCTGGTTTCTTGCGGATGCAGCTAGTTCAGTTGAGAGTGTCAGTTGATTTAAATGTGGTACCGGATTGAAGCTCAAACATTGCATTGTGGATGCAGGTAGTTGACAATATATGTAACTCTTAGCTTTATTCCCACAAATCCGCCTGAGCAGTTGATGCTTCTACTATTGTTTGGAATTGGCTTTCACCCGTGATACGTTCCAGTGGAGAACACACACACAAAGGAGGAGGGGAGACAAGAGAACGACAGACCCACTGCTGTCAGGTGTCTAGTTGTTCAGGCCGGTTGTGTTGGAATCACTCGGTGTCAGTGAACGGCATATTAGCTTGAGACGAACATTGATGCCTTTGATCAGAACACAGTATCAGCGCACAGTGCATGAATCAAGTGGATAAGTTTCCAACAATACTTCTTTGCCAGGCGCAATCTCTTCAACATGCTCAAGTAGCTGTGAGGTGAGCCCTTGTTTGTTTTTATAGGCTTGTTACGATATGTTTTCAATCGCTCGCAACAAACTTGCTAGATTGTTTGGACTTCGTTTCCGTGGCGACAAGATTCTTTTGCAGGTTTGCTTTGTTTCATTTCTGCACACCTTCCATGTCGCCTTGAACACAGCGAGCTGCTGCCAGAATCGCTCCGCCCTGCCGACCGGGGTCAGAGTGGCTGTGCGAATCCGGCCATTAGTGTCACGGGAGGCGGTTCGCGTTCGGCGGCCGAACTGTGGGTGTTTGTCGAGCGACCTTGTCAAGCTGAATAGAGAGAAGTTGAACGACTTGCAGGGTCAGCATAATGTATTTAGTATTAACCTTGGGCCAAGCTAATCAAATGTGCGCCAAGCATTCGCACGACACAAGCGCCAGAGACTCTCTTTGTCTCAGGCCGGGCAACGACAAGGTGTACGTAGCTGGAGCAATGGCAAGGTCTCCTTACTTGAACTTGACCGGCAGGCGACAGTGGGGGTTAGCAGCGCGACTGCTCGACTGCTGGTGGGTTTCGTTGTGGATCGGTCATCGGCGCTCAGGAGAGATGTTTCATGGTGGATCATGTACTTGACAGTCGGCCAAGCTCAGCTCAGAGGAGTGAGAGAACGAGCACCCGCACCATGCATCCGCCATCACCAGCGGCATATGCCCAGGAGCACAGGCAGCCAAGCTCTTCGTGCCAAACTCAGTGAACAATGTGGCATAGTGCGTCAGGAGTGCGTCATTTGTGTTGGTTGAGACAAAGTACTGGGCCCGCTAGGGCCAGTAGCTTTGTTGGGTTTGGAGCGGTTCTATATATATATACATATTTGTTTCTGGTGAAGTCTATGCGATGTGCCTAGATATGTTTGCTATTTGCAAACACGTGCAAATCTGATGTATGAATGTTGTACACATCCGACGTCCACCTTTGTATCTTTATGCAACTGTAAGACAAACACCGTAAATGGTTCCTTTCCAGCAGACGTATTGACGTATGGCCCCAGTTGTACCTCTTAAGGTTCCAGCATTGGGGGTGAGCGAGCCTGACAAGTTTGCGTCGCACTTTGCTCATATCATGATCGCCAAATCATCAAGTAGATGACCGCAATTCTGCATACACATCCAGACTCAACTGCTAAACCTTTGCACAGAAAGAGCAATAAGAAGTACGACGGTGCAAAAACATGTACAGCTCAACTTTTTTTGATCTTTTTTGCATCTATGTGGTGTCAGAAGCCGAAGCAAACTCACAAGCTTGGTTCATGTGACAGGGAGAACCCCGATGGCTCACAGGAAGCTGTCTACGAGGCTCAAAATGAAGTGGTTGACCAACTGGCTGACATCTATGGCTCTTCCTTGCATTGAAGGCGCTGGGTGCAGAGCTAGTACGAAAAGCTCTTGAAGGTGCCGGCCTTTTTTGGCGCGGTCGATCCCATCGGCAGAGGCCCAGGTTCTTAGTCGGTGATGTGTGTGACCAGAGCCAAGGCTACAATACCTGCATGCTCGCCTATGGCCACACAGGTGGAGACAAAAGAAATGCGCTCTCAGTTGCAGCTACCGATATTGCAGAGACATTTGAACAAAGCTTTTGCCAGGCTCTAGCAAGACCTACACGATGATGGGCTCCGAGCAGGAAGCCTATTCAATCGGAGTTGAGACAGCAGGTCTGAGAACAAGTGCAACCCCTCCAGCTCTGTGCCGAGGTTCACCAGGGACCTGGGGCCCGAGGAACTCTCCCCAGTGCATTGCCCTTCTGTCCTAGCCTTGGCACAAGAGTTTTGCTGATACAACACAGCGAACCGAACCAGCTAGAATGTGTTTCTTTTTTCCCAGTATTTTCACATCACTTTTCTCAGTCATCGACACCAGCGTATTGCAAATATGACATATTATATACTGTACATGACATTTGCATGATATCACAAGAATGATATCACACAACATCACATGATAAACATGATAAACTTGCTTGCAATCTTATACTCCCAAGCCTCGATGCAGGATGCAAAAACCGCAAAGAGTGCAGGCCCACTCTTAGCATTCATTCTGAGTCATGCTTTGCCTATAAGATGCTTGAGAAGTTACGTGGCGAAGTGACGCGCGCTTTGGATGCTTTTTGGCACAGGCACACCACGTACACCTATGCGAGAGAAAGTGGAGAAGCTTCACGTGACGCCCCTGGAGAAGGTGGCGAGCTTGGTTTCAATTCGAGAGACTTGGAGCATCACAGCATCCGCCGCCTCAGTAGTTTCTGCATGCTTCATCTAGCCACTGCAGGATTTCTCAGGTTAAGAAAGATTACAACCAAACAGAAACATTATATCATAAGTGCTGTGCATATTGTGGTATATTTTGGAGGGGCCACTGGACAACGCCTTCAACATGGAGGCACGTCACCAGTTGGAGTGCAAATCGGATGAAACTTTGGCTTCTCCTTCAGCTCAGTTTTAGTCCTTTGGAGTGCAAACCATGTGTCACCAATCTGGACTGCAGGTGAGTGCAGGTTCGGGCTTGATTCCGCGTACCTTGGAAGCGATCTTCTCCGCGGTGCGACACGAGGACCTTTCGGCCTCTTCGATGCATCCTGTTTCAACGAACAGTTTTCAACGAAGCTCAGAAGTGATTGGTATTGCTGATTCTTTATTTTGCTAGAGAATGGTGCAAGGAGCCAGGCACGGTTTGTATTGCCTCATTCTATGAGGCCAGCAAGAGCGAGTTTTCACGTCTCAGGCACAAGAGGCTGAAAGCTTGTGAGACTGGAAGCATTGATCACATTCGTGAGTACCACCCAGAGAAATGAGTGTGGACCGGAGTTGGAGTTGCACATCATCGCCTTCGAACATTCCGCCAGCACTGTGGAAACCCCCATCGCGCCAGCTACACAACGAGCGTGTGCGCGACTTGTTGGCGCCCATGCTGCCGAAGGAAGCGCCAGCATGGCAGGACGGGAGAACGACGAGACCAGTTGGGATTGCCAAGGGTATCCTATATATGCCATATATATACAGTATCATACAGTATAGCCTACAGCATCCTCCCATGGCCATATACAGTAGAGCTCGATTGATATGCCCATCACCAAACTTATTCAATCTCTAATGTGGCCACAAGTCACAAACTGCTTGGATTCTGCCACTGACTGTGCCTGTTGATTGGAGGACGGCGGCAGTGGTGGCCAGCAGGCATCCCAGGTCAAAAGATTGGCGAAGCGATTCACAGCCTTTGCTCATAGAAGGTTGCTCAGAATTCGCGAGATTTCAAATTGTAAGAGTGAATGCCTGCTACATTCACTGCTTCAAATTTCAGATCTACTTGACGCGCACAGGAAAGGTATACAGTAAGTAGTACGGTTGCTAGAACTGTTGAATTTCACGAAAAAGGAAAAGAAGAGAAGTTAGTCATTGATAGTCTGGCCTAGGCCTCGGCAGAATACACGAGCGCAAAGCAAGACCACGGCAGGGGCTCCAAGTTCGCTGTGTCCACATGAGTGTCCACTGTGGGTCGACAGAGGAGGGGCTGCGCGGCTGTGTCTCATGTTGTGAGACAACTTGTGCCGATGGATGATTTGGATAGCCAAAGCCCAGCCTTGTGACCAATCGAATCCTGCCAGGGCCTTTAATGGACCAAGAACTCAGCATTCTTTGTTCAGTGCCAGGTACACTTCCACCCACGTTTTGGTGCCTTTGTTGCAGGGGCTTGGGACCCAAGAGTTGCGCAGCTACTCAGAATCCGGGCATTTCTGGTTCTCAACGCCTTGTGACATTTTTTTGAGCTTATTATGTTTACTCCGTTTGCTATGGTTTACTCCTAGACTCCTAGACTCAGACTTTTCATTCATGTGACTTTTGCTGATAACCCGTCAAAGAAAGGCGCTTCCACGCTCTCGCCACTTCCCCTGTCGCAGCCTGTCGGTGACTTTCAACTCTCAACATCCAAAGACCACTTTCCGAAGACCGAAGTCATCGGGGCAAGGGCATCTCTGCCTAACTTCAGGTGGAAGAGGTGGTGTGTGAGGATGTTGAAGAGGTGCTGTTGGGGGCGGTGTTGTCAGATCTTCAGCGAAGAATTCCGGCGATGTTCGGCAAGAACTTGGTAGAGCGTATTGCACCATGGACTGCAGCGTTTGGTCTTGACTGTTGGATACTATGTTGATTCATCTCAGTTTCCCGCCCTGCAGGTACTTCGTTTGGTGAGTTTCGGGTCGCAGGCATGGACCTTAGATGTGACCTGGTTCTCTTGAAGGAAGGCCATTGTTTTCACTTCGTGCTCACTTCGTTTTCACTCGTGTTTTTGCCAATCCTAAATGCAGCACATTCCTGGCATGGCAAATATTTTTTCCTTTTCGGCAATGCGAGGTCAGAACAACTGCCGCGACCATGCTGAACGAGTACTCCTCAAGGTCTTGGTCCTTCGTGTCATGTGCATGATATTGAATGGGCTTAGCCGAGTTTAGCCTTGAAATAAACCTTCCTTCCTGCCCTAGCCAGGTCTCACGCAATTTTCTCCCTACGCATGGAGCGCTCGCAATCAAGCAATAGGCGGAGCTTCAAGCTTGCTTTGACTGAGCTTATGTGCAGTCCAATTTAGCAACATGATGCAACATGTGGGGAGATTTTAACTTGAAGCGCCAGACCAATCCGGTGCATTCTGGTTCCTAGTGACAGCTGTCACGGCTTTACTCGCCCCAGCTATGTAGTTCTATACTACTATATAATACTATATATATACATACACTACGTAGTCTAAGTTTAAATGCTTTCCACGGTTCCCTTCAACACCAGGTGTACAATACTTTCCCTGCTTTCCACTATTCCAACCCTGCTATTCCGATTTTTCGTTTTCTCGGCCAGTGTGATGTTGGTGGACTTGGCGGGCCGTGAGCAAGAACGACTGTCCATGTGCCGCACCGAACGCTTCAAGGCCTCACCCGACAAGATGAAATGGATTGAAATAGGGGGCACAGACCCCCACACACGGAAACTCAATGTCACTCGGCTACAAAATCTCTCTAGATCAAGTCAAGTCTAGCGTTTTGGAGTAAGATGCTGATTCTGGTTGGAATGCTTTGAATGAGAAATGAAACCGTGGTGATTCTATGTACAACTTGCTGTTTTGGCTCTTTCAGGAGCTCACGCTGATCAACAGATCGCTCTTCCATTTGGTTTCTGACCTGGAAGACTTTGGGTTTGGGAAAGAAGATCAGTTGAAGATACGTCGACCGAGACATCACCCTATTGGGCTCATGAGATCCACATCATAACGCCAGAGGTGTGAGTGGCTTTCCTTTGACCGACGAGCAGAGCAGCGAGCAGAGTGGGTTTCTCAGAGTCACGACTAAGGCTCGCTGCGTCCGGGAGCTGGCAGCTTCGCAGGTGCGACGAAGCGAGTAATGAAGCGACAAGGCTTCGGTCGAGGGTGTTTGGACCAAAAAAGCGGCGCCAGGTGGAAAAGACCGGCATGGGAGGCTCAGAAAACGGTTGTTTTATGCTGTTGTTATGAAGAGACCAAGAAGTACCTTTGCCTTTCATCCTGAAGCAAACCTTCCAGGCCTCTCTTTGGCATTCAGTGCAAACACGTCTGATTTTTCTTGAAAGACATGGTTTCAATAATTGTCAAGTAGGGCAGCGCCTTTTGCCGATTCTATGCGAAGGAAAGGAGAGCAGCCAATGGCATCACTTCAGGCACGGCATGTTGAGACCAATCCCGGCATTGTCAGTCTTGTTCTGAACGCGTCACGCCCAGAAACTCCAAGTTGACCATGGTTCTGGGTCATGCCCTGGCTGGGTACGGGCCCAAACTCACCCTGCAGGGACAAAATGGAGTAAAATGGAGTATTGCATATATTTTGCTTTCCCTGGTGCTTGGAAGATGCAAGTGAATTTCTTTTTACTTCTTCTCGCTTTGCTTTGCTTCAGTTGTAGACTTGGCCGAGGAACTCCCAAACCGCGGTGGTGGGCACAATCTCACCAGCTCAAAGTGCATTTGAGGATGCTGCCTTGGATGGATTCCTTACATGCATGCCTTACACATATAGACTAGATTATCTAGAGACCAATTAAGCAGGCTCCTCTAGCATTTGCCATTCTTCAGAATCCTACTGGAAGAAATCTGGTGTCACCTGGAACTCAATGATTCCCACCAGATTTGATGGATTCCCCATGATTCCCAGCTCAGGTGGTAAAGGATTTCCTCCTCCCATATGCTCACATAGGTCATGTAACGTCGCTGCGTGAAGGACTCACTGGCCACTCTCCGCTTTTGTGAATCGGTGAAGCAAGCAGCGACCTCAGCGACCTGAGACAGCTTGGAATTCGGAAGAATGAATGGATGATGAGGCTCTTTTCAATAATTTCCACGAGCCTTGCTCTGACAAGTCTTGATTCTTGATGCCGGGGTGCGAGTTTAAAGACGGCCGTGTGACAAAGCCTGCCGGCAGGTGCGAACAAAGCCTGCTCTACCAGTCTCGCAGAGAGAGGCTGTAGTCATCGAACTGCAGGACCTACCAGAAATCACAAAGTTTGAATGCCCGTTTCGGCCGTGACGAATAGCGCTGACTGAAACGACCAATCGCTTTGTAGAAACGGCTGAAACGACCGTGATGCTGACGTCTTGTGCAGGAGGAGGTGAGACGCTTGGAGGTGGAACTATTGCGGGCACGTTCTGCCATGGCCTCAGAAAATAATTGTTTTGCGTTTTGCCATGGCATTGTTTGTTTGTAAAAATAATAAAGAGTCTTCTTTGAAGAGCATTTTCTATCATTTTCTGGTGGAGCTTCAATCTAGATCTTTTAGGATCCTTTAGCTATCAAGCTCTGTATGTTTGTACACATCATAGGTTCCTTTGGATTTTCGATTCACTAGACACCAAAGGGTGCAGGGGGCAGGAGTGGTGGAACCAGACTTGATCGGTTTGGCATACCCGCACTGATGAGCCCGTTCGCATTTGAGCAATCTTTGTGCGTTGCACCGGTGTGCTGTAAAGGCCTACTGAGCTTGGCAGTCAGCTTAAGCTTCTTTTGGATGCTTTTGGAATCGTGGGAGTTGGACTTGTTATCCTTTTGGAACTTCCGCCTTTGGACACTTGTGTGTCTTTTAGATTTTCTCAAGTTCTGGACATTCTACGGTCAGACTCCGCTGCACGTGGTACCCGTCCGTTTAGCCTTGTTGGCTACCTGACCTAGGCATCCTCAGGGCTTGGGGCATTTAAGTTGCACGTTTTTAAAGGTTTCCGACATGAAAACAACGGCACCCGACATCTCACCACCAACGCCGCTCGCCTTCGTCACCTCAGGGGCGGGCCATTGTCGAGCGGCAGCTCGGAGAGGCCCAGGTACGGCAGCCCAGAACAGCCAGTCCTTTGGGCTCCCGAATCCTCCGAACTTGTGAAACTTCCACTGAAAGATCTGAAGGTGGTGATTTTGGAAAGCAAAACCTCGCTGGACTCCAGATACTCTAGTGGACCCATAACATTTTGGAACATTGGTAGTAAACATGGTCAAGGTACGAGAAATCGGAGACCTTTCGTCTTTAATTTCTTCTCCAACTCTTCTTGATCTTAGCTGCTGTTCAATGGCTTCGCTGAGAAAAGTGAGCTGAAAGCATATGGCCGTCCCCACTTGAAGAGGCCCCAAGGGCCTTTGTGGCTCTGCGTGTCCAAACACGGATTCGATTGCTAGCTGCTAGGTCTGAGAGATCTTGCCCATTCCTTGTCCCTACGACTTCATGACACCTAAAAGCAATTACGAGGGCCGGTATGGTCTAGTGCTGGGTCCAAGACCCTTTTTGCAGCACTAGGTGGACTGGCAGGCCACTACCCCACCCCATAGTGTGGACCATTAAAACACAACAAAATACTTTTAAACACATCTAGTAGTATAACAGTAAAGCTTGCGAGGTTCAATGCAGTCCTTCCTCAAGCCAAGCGTTATGTGCAAAGTCCACCCAAGAATTAAACATGCAATTTTCCAAGCTTCAGAAACTTCTCTTCTTTGAGAGACTCCTCTTGCAATGGGAATATGCCGATCGCGTGCCCGATACGTGCGAATGGAAGACGTTGCATCTCCGCAGAGCCAAGGAGTGCCACACGTCTTGCGGTGAGTATGTTTTCGATCGCCCTCAGAACTGACAACTCTTTTGTGCTGAGGGATTCAAACGCTCCACCTGAAAGGGGACATGACACCTGGTGTCCCGGTCATGTCCTGGTCAAGGAATCGTAGAATGCGATCAACAGAGTCTTTTTGCTTGACATGACATGGGGTTCCAAAATCAATTGCGAAGGAGATGCCAATAGTGCCAATGGCAGCCCCGGCGAGGCAGACGCGGGAAGCCGGGAGCATCGGAGCATCATTCAACGCAGTTTTTGGTCTACCTTTGGTCAAGGTAGAAGTGGGACAAGTCTTACTGTGTCCATTGAAAGCACTTCGGAGTCTCACCTGCATTTTGCCGGAGCTTCTTAAAGCTTGTGTTCATGGCAGAATTGGTGATGTTTTTTTTTTGCAGACTCTGCAGACTTGCAGGGGCAGAGACTTTGTGGGCCAAGCCAGATTCAGGCGGGTGGTGATGTCTTGACATCCTCGGAGTTCTTGAAGTGTTTTGTGACGCCTCGGAGCAGCTGTGTTTGTGTCGCGAAGTGGAGGTACTTCGTGGAAAGCACTTGGACCGAGAGGTGGTCCTTTTTTTGTGCAGCGAAAGCCATGAGGCAAGTTTAGCCAAACCGGTCAAGTGAGACTCTTTTGGTGCGCTGAATGGATGAAGTGCTAGAGAATATGAGGTCACAAGTACTTGTATATAGCTGGATGCAACTTTTTAGACGAACACACTCTTGTAGCTAGGCAGGTGTTTTGAAGGTTTATTGCTCATACTGGGTCGCATCAACTGGCGTAAAGTCGCATCGTGACGGGCGTGGCCTTGGGGGATCGGATCAACAGCACTTCACCACAAAATTACAGACTTGTTCTGGAGTCGTTACATGTTGTTACTGTATGCGGGTTCCTGGTTCACCTCTCATGAAACCAAGTTCTGCCGCCCAAGAGAAAAACCGGTACTGGTATCTCGAAGGTCTGATGGGTGTCAGCCTTCTACTAATGGAGATGCATGATGAACCAAGAGAACTCAACCATGTGTGGGAGAGTCATTCCGTTGTCTATTTGGCTCACTTCTCTTTTGTTGAGTGCTCGGGCAATGGTCGAAGACACAGTCTTGGACAAGGCATGCGTGAACAAACGCATTAAGCGCCTGTGTGAGAAGGCCAGCCTGTCAGAGCTGGTGCAGACAGAGACATACCTCAGGAATCTTGTTGACAAAGACTCTGGCTCCTGTGGTCACAACAACAAACCCACTGGAAGCAAAGAAACGCTTTGCAAAGGCTGCCGAGGCCTAAGGCCACCTGCTCCACGCCATCAGCCGTGGCACGCCCGCAAGAAACAATTAGTTTTCCTTGAAGGCCTTTTTTGTAAGAATCACAAGAAGCAATTAGTCCTTGGGCTGCCTCTTCCCCACAATGCAATCTGTAGGAAGGGCTTCAAGAACTTATTGTTCACAGTGGCTGGGTCGCGTGCCCATGGGGGCTTCACATCCCAACACCAGCTCCTTGGCACCATGCAACATCATCTTCCAAGCCGCGTGGGCAATGGGATACGACTTTGATCAGTAGTCCATTTTTGTATCTTCCAAAGTGAAAACCATGTACTGTAAATTTGCAGGCGTGGGCTCCAAACAAGTCAACCTCCAAGCACAGGTTGTGAACGCGTGGCCATAGTGACTGAGACAATACGATGTGACTTCTCACGTGCTGATGTGACTTCATGCTTCCACGCGTGGCCATGATTTGATGCTACTTCACACGCACTGATGTGACATAATCCAACCCCTTGTGGCTGGCTTTGTTTTTGATCACTTAGCTCCCTTACTCATGCCCTTGATGGAGACAGACATGATATATAAATTTATGACTTGACGAGTACTTCGCAGTTGTGCTGCCAGGATGCCATTGACCTTACAAGAGAAAACGCAGTGGTGGACCAGCTGGGGGCCCAAAACGAAGCAGAAAGTCGCCCTGTTGGGTGCAAAGGAGGGGAACATGAGTAGATTCTTAATAGACCAATCTTCCGCAGAGTAGGGTCATTTTCCACGCACGCATGGATCCGCACCAATGGTGTAGCAGTGACTGCACAGTTCCTTTTCGGGAACATGTGGACCTTGTTTGCGATGTGGCTTTTCATTGTGAGGTACGAGGATTGGATCAGTTGTCAGGCCCCCAACTTCAATACGAAGTCGGCTTGGAAATCCAAGAAAGGTGCGAAACTCAGGGCCTTCAGGGGCCTTCAGGCCTTGGGGCGTTACAGCGTCCGATCGCTCCGTTCGTAGCGATGCCCTTTGTTACTAGTAGCTTCTTGCTCCTAGTAGTAATGCCAGGAGCCCCTAGTAGCGTCCTTGCTCCTAGTAGAAATGCCTTTGTTCCTAGAAAAGAAATAGAACCATTGAAGGGCCTTGGGCCCCTTTGATAGGGCCCTACGATACCCTGCCAGCGGTTTGCTTCGCTGGCCAGCCGGACCCGAGGCCTCAGTGAAGATCAAGCAAAGGTTTGGGCATCAAAACAGCTGAAGAATGCCGAGGTGTGGTGAAACTGCTGATGTTTATGCCTTTATGCCTAGCCACAAGGTTTGGAACGGACAAATGACATGGATATGTGTAGACAGCCGGCCTTCTTCGCAGGATGATGATGAGGATATGAGCAAAGATGGAGCCATGCTGGTCTTCGTGGTGCCCTGAATAGCAGTGAAAGCAAGACAAAAGCAGCACCCCAATGCCAATGAGCCTTCAGATGACAACGGTGGAAACTTGCCTGTGTGAACATCGAGAGATATTATGTGAATTGTCATAAGTTTCTTTGCGCCGATCTAATTATATAGATGTTCTTGCGCATTATTTTTTGGGGTGCATCCAATCTGTTGCTTTTGTTGCCTGACATTGAGGCAGAAGCGGCAGAAGGCAAAGGAAAATGCTACCTTTTTGTGCCTGACTTGGTGGAGTGCCGAGAAGGTGCTCTGCCAGAGAAAGCTGCTGCTCGTCTCCTTTTGCATTAAGAGACCAGCTCAGCAAGCGGATTGAGGATTGACCAGTTTGACCCGTTACAAAACAGAGTCGCATTTTTGTTCACTATGGGTTTGCCATGAGTTGGAGTTGCCTAAAGATTCTTCCATTCAATTTCATTATCATTTGTGGTCTTGAATGTTCCCCAGGTTGCATATGAATGGGGTGACCTGGATGATGAAGCACGTGAGTTCCGGCGACGTCGCAAAGCACGACAGGACTTCCGAAGCTGACATTCTGTCACTTTTTGATGGTTTCTTTGTTCCTTGTCATCCAAACTGTGCGGATGCAGATAGTGTAGGAGTTGAATGACTAAATTGATTATAGGGCACAAGCTACTAGAAGCAAGGGCATTCCTACTACTGTAGTAACAAAGGGCATTACATGGCATTACTACTAGGAACAAGGACGCTACTAGTAGCTCCTTCTGTGCTAGCAAGCGGTGTCCTAGGAAAATAGTGTGAACATTTAACTTTTTGCGCGAAAAGTCGAAAAGTGAAAAGTTTTTGAATGCCCCTGGCACTCGAAAAGTCGCAAAGTGAGACTTTTTGCGAAAAGTCGAAAAGTGGAGACGTTCACAAGAAGTCCGACTTTTCTTGAAAAATCGAAAAGTCCAACTTTTCTCGAAAAGTCGAAAAGTCCAACTTTTCTCGAAAAATAACATATTGCACAATGAAAGGTGGAAAACAAACACATCAATTTTCCGCAAGAGGGTATAAATATACATATATATATATAGAGATTTAATGAAATGATTGAAATACCTAAGATGATTACTAAAACATACTCATTGAGGATGAGTGGGGTACAAAGGCTACATTTAAAAGATTATGAATGTCAATGAGCCTGTGATTATCAAGGCTAAATTTGCTGGAAGCGGCAAGAGTTATATAGGTGAATATGTTTTCAACATGAATAAGTCTGTGCTCTTTGTTATGCCTAATAACCGGCAGCTTCAAGAGAACAACCGTGAGGGTCTTGTAAATTTTTTTCCATAGCAGTAGGTGAGGATGAAGGAGGAAAACTACCTCAGTTTGATTAGTCAGGTTTTGATGTTATTGTTTTCGATGAAGTGTTTATGGTAAATATCTATATCAAAAGTAGGATAAGATCATTGTGTTTAAATAATCCTGACAAGATCAGAATACTGACAGGTGATACAAAGCAACTTTTGTGCTTTGAACAACACACCAGTTGTCAGGATGAAGAGACCTGTGCTAATCATTGTATTGATGTGATATGTCCTTACAATACTTTCTTGACAATTTGATTTGTAAGGAGGTAGGTGCTAGAGATAGTGAAAAAGGATATATGATTATGAAACTTATTATTATATAGTGACATATATGACGATTTCTGGATACACAAACTACCAACTAAGGAAATTATACCAAAATATTTGGTAATAACTGATGACATAATGGCATCAGAACATAACATAGCATACACCAACATAAGGTGTAAAACAACAGCAAATGACATAAAACAGAGGCTAAAAGTATGAAGTGGATGAGGTACTGATTGCCAGAAAGTGGGTGAAGGAACCAAGGATAAACATAAACATCATATACAGTATTACAGATTGAAGGTAGGCAACTCACTATACAAAACATATTTGATGACAAGAATGTCATTGTGTTAAGTGAGGAGTTTGTGGATGAGACATTCATTTACTCACATTGCGCTACATGTCATTCTTCGCAGGGTTCATCAATCAAAGAAACTTCAACAATACATGAATGGGATTTACCCTTTGTATCTAGAGAGTGGCGTTACACTGCTTTAACTAGGTGTGTTGATTCTAGAAATGAAAACAGTTAGCAAAGAATTTGATAAGGAAAAGAAACTCTATATGTATAAAAATACATTTTGAAAACAAGGTTGAAGGATACAAACTTCAAGATATGAAAGCAGATAGAGAAATAAATGAAGATGAACATATTGATGTTGAATGTGTATGGAAAGGTTGATTAAACAGTGACTTTACAGCACAGCGTGTTTGTAATTATCAATGCCATTCAAAGAGCAATTGTGTAGCATTCAATGAATATTGTAATTGTAGTAGCAAAACACATGATATATATAGTTTTTATATGAGCGCATCAAAGCAAAACGTTATTATAATGATACATATTTTGATACGGAAGCAAGGCAGTTACTTTGAAAGATGCTAAAACATGACAGTTCATTGAAATAGCAGATGTAGAAGAGCTTTGTTTAGCAAGAATGTTGAAGTGAAGAAGAAGCCTTGGGGCTTTAATTGCTTTGTGGCTCCGCATAATAATCATACTTATCAACTTGATATATTTTGCTTTATTCAGAAGATATTGAAGCAAAACCAAAATTTAGAGCAGGGCTGGTTATGATAGATGTTTTAAGCAAGTACGCGGTAGTAGTGCCAATAAAAAGCAAAACCCCGCCTGATGTAATGGCTGGAACAATGGAAGGTCTCAAAAAAATTAGAGCAAAACCAAAAGTCATTTATACAGATGATGAGAGAGCCATCGCAAGTGCTGAGTTCAAAGAATACATTGAAGGTGGGGCACCCTGCTTTTGCTCGGCGCTTTATCAGAAGTTTTAAAGATACACTTTTCAAGAGGGTAGATAATGATGAAAAAAAACTAAAGCAACACATCCAATGGACTGGCTATATAATTGAAATAATGATTACTTATAACAATAAAGATGTCCATTCAGCAACTGGAATGACACTAAACGAAGCAAGGAAAAAGACAATGAATTTAAATCAAATTTAAATGTATCAATGAAAGTAAAAGAAGCACAGATTGTATCCTGAATTAGAGGTAGGTGAAAAAGTAAAGATTCAAAGAAACAAAGTAATTACAGAAAAAGAACGCACTTCACACTTTCTAAAAGGTGAATACACGGCAGAGGCAATAAATCAAAACTGGGACAAACCTATTATACATTATTTGATTTCCCAAGACCATTGCTTCGCAATGAGTTGCTTAAAGTCTAAAATACATTAGTTTTAGAGAGACATATTTAAAGGGATGTCATCTTAGATAGTATCTGCAAAGAGATGGAGATGACAAATGTAGTATGTGTGATAAGGAAAAACAACTGCTGAATTCAAAAAGGAAATCCAAACTTGTAATGAAGACCGTAATGAAGCAAATAAAACCAAAAAACAACACCGCAAAAACAATCCTGAAAAAGAGACACTATAGTGGAAAAAGAGACTTCAAAGAATTGGAGATGATAAAGACATTACCTGCCACATATGTCAATATGATGTGAAAAAATACAAGTTCAAATTGTCAATCAAGATGACAACTCAGTGGGACATCGAAACCTTTTACTGTAGAGATGTATGAAGCAGGTGAAGATGTAGATAAACCAGATGAAATAACAACTGGTAAATGGGGCAAGGTATGGTATGATTGTTATGCCTGTAAAGGTAGTATGCTTCAATGAGTCGAAAAGTCCCACTTTTCTCTAAAAGTCGAACAGTGAAATTTGTTTCGAAAAGTCGAAAACAAAAACTTTTTGACTTTTTGACTTTTTGCGAACAGTTTACTCGTTTTCGTGATAATTGTTTTCGCGCGAATTGCTAGCTTAGCCTTCCTACTAGTAACAAGAAGCTACTAGGGGCTCCTGGCCGTACTACTAGGAGCAAAGGACGCTGCTAAGAACAATTGCCGTCTGGTGGTTTGCAGAGCCAGGAGATGCCGGTTGAAGAGTTGGACCTGCTCTTGGAGAAGCGGAAACAAGATCGGCGGAAGGAAGGCCATCCTTTCTTTGGACGCCAGCAAAAACATGCGTGAACAAGCATAGAGGCTTTTGAACATCTATCTTCAAGCTTAATATACTATTGTGCTGTGTATTATTACTATTATTGCGTATTAGATAGATTTTATATTACAAGTGCACTTGTGATACCGGTATTGTCCGCAGGGTAAGACGTTCTCTTCACCACGTGACATGCTTCAGCAAAGTTTTGCAACGGTTGGTCAGGTTTGCAGCTCTTCGACGATTGGCTTATTCACCAGATCCAGTCCATGGCCAGAACACAGTGGAGCAAACGTATGCAAAGGTCATGATTTTGGTTATGAGATTTTGCAACACGAAAAGCACTTAAATGAAGAGACGGGGGCCCACAGGTGTATTCTATCCATTTCTCATTTCCTTTGACCGCCTGTGGTGGCTTCCAGTTGATTCTTCAACTTGAGCCAGATTCAAGTTGCAGTTGTTCGAAAGGTTTTCGTCCAGCATCACAATCGAATATCCTCAATGTTTTGGGGTTTAGTTTGCCTGAGGACATGCGATTTTCCAGTGGAGGTGGTGCTGGAAAGCCCAGTGCCTGCGGAAGAAGTGGAGATTGAATTGCAGGCCGTGCAACAACGTTTTCCTCTGTGAACATGATCAAAAGAGGCAATCTAGGTCAAGGTAAATTCTGGTTGAATTATAATATTATATAGTTGAATCTGCACCAAGTGTGGTTATGCCCTTGAGAATCGCCAGTCTGCTTGCAGTAGCTGATCCTTAATCAGTACGGGCTTCAACAAGCTTGCTACAGGTGTATGGAATCAAGGCGCAGACACATCCACTATTATCCACGGATTTGCTGTTCTTAAAGACTTTCACTGAAGCTGCCTCGTCATGCTACACATATGCTGGTGCGATCTAGAGCATTCTGAATCGTAGCCCTTGAAGCCTTGACCACCTCTTCAGTGAGACCAGACTTCGTGACACCTTTTTCCTTTGCTTCGGCAGCCACCATCAATCCAAGAACCATGGAAGTGGCCCCCCCCCGTGAAGGAAAGTTGCCATTTTCCACTTCTATGAGGGACGGTTCAATCAGTTGCCAAGCGATTTGAGTCAGGATGTTGCTCCAGCGCCTCCTGCTCACAGTTCTTTACGTGGCATTGAGCTGGACTCCGACTCGGACCGGGGCATCCGACTCCGACTCGTCGCGGGCGGATGCACTGTGCTCACCCAAACAATTCTGAACGGAATTGGCAAGACCTCCCTGCTTGTAGTGCCATAAAACCGATGACCATGCTGTTCTTCGTTTTCAGCATTGGGGACGAAGCAAAGCTTGAGAGGACAGTGATGATGAAAATGACGGAGGGCTTCTTGGTTGCACGTCAACTCGAAAGGAGTATGCTGCATAGGGTCAAGTGTATCGTTCTGTTTGCTCCGCATAACTCCCAACCGGTTTTTTCCGTCCCCAAGCCGCCATGCAGAACTGACTCCTTCATCGACTACCTACGGCGGCGGCTGTCAACGGCGCTCCCTGCCGAACGGTTGCATTGTGCAGACCCTCGTGAGCTTGGAGAGGCGCCAATGCTCAGCGTTTCGAGATCGATCTTGGCGATGCACCGCCTGCTCCACACGGGTCCACACGATACAGTCACGAAACACAACACACACACACACATTTTCAGCTATTTATAGCCATTTCTTGAAGCGCCATGCTAGATCCCTCTTTCACGATGTCTTAGCGGCTCCGCACGCAGGGCAGTGAAGAGTTGTCCCTTCGCGATGCTTTCCAGCGGCTGTTGAGCCAACCTCGACCCAAAGATATGGAAGAGGCAGGCCGTTTGGACGATTACCTCTTGCCCAGTCATGCGGCTGTTGCCGACATCAGTGGTCGGTTGTGCTGGAATGACGCCCCTATGCACATCCTTACCCAAATGGAATTGCGACTAGAGAGGCTCTCTTTGTTGGTATTTGCAGGTGTTCTTTTCATTTTCTCTGATGAGGTTGCTCATGCCCCACCAACATTTTTGATGACCTTCAAGGACACAGAACATGCAACAACCGCAACAACAAAACGATCCCTAAATCCGTCCTGTCCGGGGCACTCGACTCCATGCTGCAGAAATGTCCAAAGATCAAAGCACAGAACATGCGTAGACACCAAGTTTGGGCTTTCAGCAAATCAAGAAATTAGCGACATCATGTGACATCAACATCTTCGAAGAACACCGAGTGCTCAAAAATGCAGCACATCGAAGGTTTCGCAAGGAATAAATAAACAAAAGGCTGCTTTGTTCCTGCCTTCTTTCGTGGTGTGCACTGTTGGAAGAGTTACTTTTGCTTTTTTTTGCTTTTGCTGGAGCACTGATCGAAAATCATTCTTGTCCCTCACGCGCATGATCTCCCTGTGGCACGTCACACGGGACTTGTCAGAGATCCGAGTGGCCACGGATTTGCAAGACTTCGCTGTCTCGGCCTGCCAAGGCAAAGACTCAGCTAACACACGGCTAGCGATGCCCTTGTTACTAGTAGCGATGCCCTTGTTACTAGTAGCTTCTAAAGGCTGCAAGCTTTTTTGGGTCCTCACGGATCTCATTTGCGATTATACAAGAGCGCAGAGGCTACTTGCTGCAAGCAACACACTCTGATCGCAGATATTTCGGCTCTAAAAATCCAAGCTGGGATGCCATTCATGAGGCTCCATGATTCACCACACATGCCACTACTTTTGTTTTCCCACCATGTGTTATGCGAAGTAGTAAATAGCGTTGCTTGCATCCCTAGCTTAGCCACTGACACTCTTTTTCACTTGGTGCCCCACACTCCAATTTTGTCATTTGGGCCCGTAGTTTGCCATGCCAAAGCCGCGGCGAAAGAACCGGCGGCCGGCAGCCAAAGGCAAGAAGAAGCCCCAAAAGCCAGCTCGTCCTGCTCGGAGTGTGTCAAGAAGCTACAGCTACTCAAGAAGCCGGAGCTACAGTGATAGTGAAGGGTCTTCAGATGGACATTCTGATGAAGATGATCCCAGAGACTACAAGCGTGGAGGTTACCATCCTGTCACACCATATCAACTGTACAATGCACGGTACAGAGTGCTCTCCAAGCTGGGTGCGGGTGCTTTCTCAACGGTTTGGCTTTGTGCCGACGAGAAGCAAGCGGATGGCCAGCTTGTTGCCATGAAGGTTTGCAAATCCAAAAAGTCTGTGACTGAACAGGCTCAGGATGAAGTCATGCTTTTCGAACAGATGAGACCTGGTGGTGCTTCGGGGTCGCCCTTTGTCGTCAAGATGACCGATCACTTCTGGCACACGGGGCCCAATGGTCGGCACAAGTGCATGACTTTCGAGGTCATGGGGGAGAATCTCCTTGCCTTGGTGAAACATTACAACTATGATGGCCTTCCACTCGACTTGTGCCGGCGACTCTCCAGGCACACCTTGAAGGGCTTAGAATACATCCATTCCTGTGGTGTGATTCATACAGATGTGAAGCTAGAAAATGTGTTGATTTGCCGCCACGACATGACAGCATTGATCCAAGAGGCTCGGCAAGCGCACATGGCATTTTCCTCACAAAAGACGAGCCTAGAGTCGCTGTCGAAGAGCCAAAAGAAGCGGCTCAAAAAGAAAAACAAAAAAGAGGCCCAACACAGTGCTACAGCACCTGCTGAACTCAAAGAGGTGTCAGATGGCGAGAAGCTCGACAACGACATTGTGGAAGCTCCTGAAGCTGTCCAAGTGCTTCATGTCAATGGGAAGGGACTTGGCGGAGGCTATGGTCCAACCAATGGCGAGACCACGGCGGCCGCCCCGGACGAAGCCCCGGTGACTGAAATCCCACGGCCGATTCCTCCAGTGCGGCAGCGGGAGCGCTTTGACAGCTTAACGACGGAGCAGACCTTTGCCAAGTTGGCAGACTTTGGGAATGGCATCAAGTCTGGTCATGTCGTGACCAATGACATACAGACCAGGCAGTACCGTTCACCTGAGGTCATCATTGGTTCAGCATGGGATGAAACAGCAGACGTTTGGAGCGCAGCTTGCATGTTCTTCGAACTGGTCACTGGAGATTTCCTCTTTGATCCCAAAACGGGGAAAGATTGGGATCGCGATGAGGATCACTTGGCACTCATTGCTGAATTGTTGGGCGACTTGCCTGACAAAGAGTATTGCTTGTCTGGGAAGTACTCCAAGGATTTCTTCAACAACTCCGGCAAGCTGAAGCACATCAAGACCATGAAGATGTGGCCTCTCATAGGCGTTCTCAAAGAGAAATATGATAAGTCTGCGGAGGAGGCCAACGAGATGGCCGAGTTTCTCTTGCCAATGCTCACCTGGGAGCCCACCAAGCGGCAATCGGCTTCGGAGGCTTTGAAGCATGCATGGGTGCAGCTTAGAGAGGGTGAGATGGATGAAGTTGATGAATCTGTGGTGAAACCGGATGCTTTGAGAAGCTTCGAGGACTCGGAGGTTAAGGAGCCTCCAAGCACAGAAACCGAGGCCCAAACAGCTCCAGAGACTCCAGAGGAGGTTTGATGCGCAGTCGGTTCTCGGGAAAAATCTGATGGAAGGTGCCGCTATTGACAGGCAGTATGGATAAGCCCCAAAGCGAGACCTCCACGTTGTTTACATAGAACTAGGGAATACTGTATACTGTGCCACAAGTTGCGTTCATGTGTGACTTTGTTTACTCTATGACTATGGCATTCTTGTACTGTGCTATGGTTGCAGCTGCATGATCTTGCACGTTGAGCAGGTAGGGAGCCTCCAGTTTCACCCTGCAGGTGGAGCTGGACAGTCTTGGGGCCTCGTACCCGGACGATGAAGAGCCAGAAGATGGACAGTGCGGCTTGGACCTGCAAAGAGCTCAAACGAACCAGGGATGATGAGATGGCATCATGTGACATCAGAGATCATCAGAGTCTAGAAAGCTTACATGTGACATCACGGATGACTTGATGACTTGTTCTCACTCGATTCGACGCGGGTCGAATTCCCACTCCAATTCTGCACTCTCCTTCTAGGCGATGAGACGAGTAGACTGCTTCCGGCAGTGCCATCCTTCGAAGCCTTCTTTGGAGCTGCATCAGATGTGCTCTACTATCATCCCGAGGTCAAGACGGGTGTACCCGAAGGTTGTGATTGACCGCTAGAACATACCGTTCTTGCTTGTTCTTGCTCTCCTTTATATACTGCTTCAACTGGACTCGCATTCAATGTTTTTGCAGGTAGAAGGTTGTCATTTTAAAAAGCTGGTCTGAAAGAAACTGTCCTGTGGACAGGTGAAGATGGACTATGCGCCCTTCTTGCACAAATGTGTCGGGTCTGCAGAGGCGGGGATTCCACTTGAAGACCAATGACAGTGGGCCATGGCACCGGGAGACCAACCGGTTGACCTAGCTGTCGGTCGTTCACTACATGGTGGACAGGTCGGGCTCCAGGTTGATAGACCCCTGCTGAAATGAAACACCCCAATTCCATCCTATTCGGGATTCTTGGGGATGAAATGGTCACATCGGTCACCGGGTCGGTTGAAGGATTCATCGTCATCTGTCGGCCGGATGCAGAGGCCTTGGAGCAATTCTTCGATCGCCTCTTCTTTGGCACGGTACCCGAAGCATTGGCGGAGCTGACCTTGACCGAGGAAACCAGGCTTGGCCAGTGGATGGCTAGGGTAGGGGTTTGAGCCATATAGGACGGTCCTTGCATGTTCCATGGAGTCAAAATCTGAGTTGGCGATGACTTTAAGACAGACCAGTTGGCCCATGAGTAATTATGCAAAAACGTGCAAGCTATTTCAAGCTTCAATCTTTTCAGGACTTCCCTTTGTCCCAGGCCCTTCACGCGTATTCGCTCACTGATCTACGAGAGAAAGGGACTCGTCCAGCGGCGGCCAAAGGAGCGGCCCCCCGATCCCTGTGAAGGTGCCAACCTGACGTGTTACTAGTAGCGTCCTTGCTCCTAGTAGCGATGCCAGGAGCCCCTAGCAGCTTCTTGTTACTAGTAGCGATGGCCTCCAACCTAATAGTGATGGCCTCCAACCTAGTAGCTTCTTGTTACTAGTAGGCTCATTTCCCGGGTCGCCATCATCGTGTGTGGCATCGAACACATGGGGGATTCCCCTGATTGCTTACCAACCTTAAATGATCAGATATACTTATTACTTATTACATTTTATTCTTATTACATCCCATTACCCAAATAACCGACAGTATGTGATGTCAAGTTACATAGAATATGTATGAATATGACGTCAAGAGTCTATTTCGCTTGCAATTCATCAGTGGCCCTTAGCGCCAATGGGACTGTAGACACACGGCTGACTGTAGGGTTTTGGCTCATGGCTTCACCGGAATGATGTCATCCAGTCCATCTCGAGGGAAGCAAAAATGCAGGTAGATATGGATCAACTCAGGTTGATGTGAAGAATCAGCAACTTGCAGTGGCTTGTAAAGAGCCAAAACAAGACATCAGTCATTTTTTTGACCCACTTTGGCGCGGTCTTTCCGACACCATGGCAGAATACCATGCTGTGGTGATTCACGAGACCTGGCGAAGCTTCTGAGAAGCGCTGCAGAGAGCTCGCTTTCTTCGTTTGGTGACAAGGGCATGACTACTAGTAGCAAGAAGCTACTAGTAGCTTCTTGCTACTAGTAGTAATGGCCCCCACCCTAGTAGCGATGGCCTCCAACCTAATAGCTTCTTGCTACTAGTAGCAAGCTAAGGAATGGACCGACTTCTCTGTGAAATTGGGCGGCTCTGAAGTTCACATTATCCATGCCTCTTTTCAGGAGCAGTTGATGATTACATTTGATAGACTCAGTTTCCCTCTATTGAACCAGAAAGGTGGACCAGAGAAGCAGAGTTCGCAGAGGAACCGGAATGGGTCAACCCTCAAGCTTTCTGTCGCGCCCAAAATTCTCCAGGCCCTCGAGGATCCCAAGAAAAGAGTTGATGTGGCTGGAAGGTTCCAGGATGATCTGCATAAGAAGCTCGTTTGCAGATCGCACAATTGAGGCATTGTAGTATTACTGTACGCGTTTTGCGACAGCGGCCGGTGCTTCTTTTTTTTTCTGCGCTTTTGTCATCCACGACAAGATCAGCCACGCAGCCTCCCCCAACGTTGAAGCTGCATACTGTAGTAAGTCTTGTAGGGTCGCTGTAAGTCATATTTATATAAGCATTTTCGTAAGCTTTATGGGACAAACCGCTGCGCACGTTCAAGACAGCTGGTCAGCGGTGCAGCTGAGGAGGGGCTTTGTGTGGCTGAGCACCCACAGCTTGCCAGATCCTGCTCGTGGCAAATGGAAGAGGCTTCTGGTGATTTACCGTGGTGACAATGAGTACAAGTGCCTGGGCTGCCTTGACTCATCCAGAAACGAGTGGCGCGAGAATGTGCAAGAACAAGAGCACCATATGATGCACAAATCGACAGGCAAGGCTTTTGAACTAGCCAGTGAACATCATATGAACATTGCAAATTGCAGTCTGAAATCTTCCGCTTGATAAAACCCGTGGCAAAATCAGTTCTTTGGTTGACCGGTTGGAACGTGTTGCAGAAAGGTAAATGATTGCAAAGGCAGATCCTCGAAGATGATCTGATTGCTGTGGGCCAATACTGGTTATATACGGTCTTGCAGCTTTCATCCACGGCCCTGCCATACAACATGTCAATCACCTCTCCTCGCTGTCAGAGTCGGATTGATGCGACCTGGCCTAAGGACATCTTCCGCGTTTTGGGGTGCTACAAGCGCAGCGCTGATGAACCTTACCGCAGTGGCCACACCCTCAGTGGCTGCGCTGGCATTGGGATCAGCCACTTGACAAAAGTGCCTCTCTCTACTCGTGTGAGTGCCAATGTGTCCTCTAGTACTTTGTTGATTGACCTCATCTTGTAATGATTATAAATCATTGTATTTTCAATTACCCTATTGGTCAAGTTGTGACAGGACTTGTAAGTCACAACTCCACACGACACGTCCGGTGAGGCAATTCTTGACATGCCAGTGGTGGAAGCCTGGCAGTACTTCACCGGAATCGTGAAAGGTTGGTTCCAGGGAAGGTGGTATCGAGGGCTACCCCGGAATGCCGAAGGTCTTGTAGTTTGGAATGTGACCGGTATCCTCGGGAACTGTTTTGCTTTTAAAGAGAACATGTGAAATAGATTGTTTACGCTTACTTGCAGCGCAAGCTTGGATCTAACATGATCTATACAACTCAACTACCACCAGTCTGCGACCGTCAATTCTCACCTTCTTTTCGATTGGAGGGAGGAAGTTTGACAGGGCTGACGCACACAAATCTCTCAGTTGTAGGGGAAAGATGTAGGAGTATTGAGACTGTAACAAGAACAGCTTTTGTCCTGGCAGTGCGCCGTGGAAAGGATGTAGTATTGAACACAGGACGACCTTTTGAGAGGACAATGCCCAATGCATACTGCAAAAACAATTTGCATGTTGTACCCCCAGATGATACAGAAACCAACCAGTACGCAACTATAAAAAAAGACTACGGAGATGGAAAGCATGGCGGTCACTGTCAAGCATGCAGTTCTTACTTTGTGTCATGACTCCCTCAACCCTCTCTCAAAACTCTTGACAAAGAATTCGGAGTGGTGGTTTTGTGGGTCGAACGAGAGTGAGGCCGGTATGATGAGTGGTCAACTAGAGTCAGGTTCTGTGAAATGGATAGAGAAAATGGAGTGAAGGAATTCAACCAGGCGCGCACACACACACACACACCATCACACACCCAAGAATGGACCCTCGCCCTCTTGGACAATTTTGGGGGTGTAAGGTGCCTAAAAGAAGTGCTGTGTTTTTTCTTGTTTTTTCCCTGACGCATGTTCTGCATGTTTAGACAAGACCTGCATGGAGACGGAACACTATTTATTATGTAAATTATTTTTTTATTGCAACGATATGACATCATGTTTGGAATTGTTTGGAGTGCTGCAGCACGACCACGCACCAAGGACCTTTTGAAAATCCCAGCACTGGTCGTGCCACTGCTGTCCATGAGTGTGACCGCATATAAATGGAGTCGCGACTCGAGTTGCGACTCGAGTGTGCCCCTTTTCCTGGACAACGAGTGTGTGATCTGCCTTTGCGACCTTGGAGTTTCAAATGCTGAGATTCTCCCTTGTGGACATGCTCCTTGGCCAGTGTCTTCGGATATGAACCGAACACTCTCCCAATTGGTGGGGAAGAGGGAAGACGAATTTGCTCTATCGCTTGGATGCTATGAGAGTTTCGATTGTTGATTTGGAAGATTACTTGAGGTTGTCAGAACTTATCCTTTTGGATTCGAGCATATGTGTACTTTTTCTTGCCGGCATACCTTCAGCATGCCTCCCCCCCTGGTCAGTACGTGCCTATACTGCAGCTATCCTGAGGCTTTTCACTACACTTGCATCCAAAGCTGGCTTGCGCTTGGGGGGCAGTTGTGCTATATGCCGCCAGGACCGCCATATGTCAGCCTCAAAGATCCAGGCATGCCATGGTGGGTGCAGAGTTCATTCCAAGTAGTCAAAGCTCAGAACACTTCAGTTGTAGAAACATTGCCCCTGGGCCTTTCGCGTCACAGCTTGCTGCTGGTTTGGCTGCATTTAACTCGTGACTTGCGCACAGAGCAGATCTCACATTCGGATTTTGGCAACATCTTGAGGTCGTTTTTTCAAGGCTGCATCACACCGATTTGTGGTCCCCTCCAAGGACTGTCCCCTCCGCACGGTTTCAAAAAGTGTTGGGTCGGACCCTCCGACGGGACTGTCCCCGCCGAAAGGACTGGCCCCTTCTTGGAACAGACACCAAAAGAAAAGCAACACAGGCAACACACGTAATTCGGCAAATGTTGGATTAGCCAAGTATTCCGCAGCCAAGCGACGAGCTAGCCAAATCGTGAGAGCCCCAGAGGTGGTGAGTGAGCTAAGTAGCGAGATCTGGCTGATGGCTGATCTCTGATGCAGCAGCCTCATGAGAGAATGAGCACGTGCAGCCCCCAAAGAAACTATATACATATATGTGTCTAGTGCTTGAACCGCTTGAGACAGTGCAAAGCAGCTTGACACTGGTTCAAATTGAACTTTGGCAAACAGCGCACTGATCGATGTGCACAAGCTGGAAACCTGGGTTTCCGTTTGAAGAATCAGTACAGTAGTAGCCTCCACCAGCGAAGCCAGTTGCGAAGCTCTAGATCCGGTGAGGCCCCCCACCTGCTGCAATGCTTCAGAACTCAGAATGCTTTGTTTTCGTCCCACACACACACACACAACAGGTCACTTCACAGAAGAATTCCTTGGAACGCAGGACTTGATGCGCCAACTTCCTGACTCATGTCTGTCTCACGTGCATGTCACTAACGTGCTATTCACTTGTTCTGGTTTTCGAACACTACTTAAACTCACATCGATGTCAGAATCGATGTCAGTGTCAAGTCATTCCGATCGCACTCACAGTCGTATGGTTTCTTCAGGAGCCATGTTGTGATTCATGGATCAGAGAGGCGGACAGCGCTCTGACTGGGCTGTTCTCGCATGAGTTCGGCCACTTGGCATGTCCAACCCGTGAACGATTCGTGAAGTATTTCACCGGTTTCCCTCTCTTGACCCGCAGAACACCCGCACCAAAGACCAGTTTGATGGCACAATTTTGACAAAGGCCTGCTTTTTAAAGTAAATATGTTTCAAACATGTATCTTCATGTAGCTTCTTGCATGAGTAAAGACACCTACTTACTTGAAGCCTTTCTCAAGCAGCAGAGGTACGTCACGTGGCTATGAGACATGACTCAATGTTTGTGGGTCTAGTTCATGGAATGTGGTTCGTTGATGCCTTCCTGGTTGGCGCTGCCACCTGAGTTTACTGCCTGCTTGTCCAGACGTCGTGTAAAGCTATCTTTTTGCAGATGAGTTTGGTGCCACTCGCACTGATGCGAAGCCTGAGAATTCACAGCAATAATTTTGGCTTGTCCGGTTGCCGTTCGTCGTCAGCTGCAATTCTGAGTAGCCAGCACTCGATGAACTCTAACAGAAAGATGTACACTGGTGCAGGTCAACTGGTTCGAGCAATAAACCCTTGTTCTTTCAGCACCATGTCACCGCGTGCTGGCTGATACAGTTGTGCTCACGAAGGATTCGGCAGGGCAAGGATTTCATTTCCGTGTGTCATGTGTGGTTAGCATGCCACTGCCAGGACCAAGAAACAAGAAATTCCACACAAGCGGACTTTGATGAGTTTTGCCAATTGACGAGGGGATTCTCTTTGGCAACGTCGTCGTTGTCACCACCTTGGTCTTGGGGTGTTGCAGGGCAACCCAAAGATTCATGAATCTCAGCGTCCAGCATCTAGCTCCGCCCGAATGAGACACTTAGTCACTTAGTGTTTGTTGTGAAGTGTTGTTTTTGTTTCCATTGTTTCCATTTTCCATCAATCATTTAGAGGTTCGAAGAACTAGGCCTGTGTGCGTAGATGTGGTCGAAGGATCTTTGGAAGGAGAGGACAAATGGACTTGGTCCACAGACTAAACTACTGCATGCATTTTATGATGAGCACTCTGCCCATTGATACTGCCCATTGATACTCGTTCCTCTAACTCGACTCTAGCTCAGTGTACAGTTTTGACCTGAACAGAGAATTGATGCTGCCTTTGTCGAAGACTGAAACCCGCATGTATTGTTCCGAAAAGCTGGGATACAGGTTCAGAATCTGAATTCGGCTGCATGTGGGCTGTCCAAGGGGGTTGGGTTTCTGGCCAAAGGAAAACAGTCTTTCTGTCAGCATTGAGCATAGTTTCTTCACCTGAGCGCTCACCTGTTGTTGGCCAGCGATCCAGGAACAGGCTTCCCCCCCTCCGGACCATTTCGCTGTGAGAGGAGAGAAACAGACATTGTGTTGAGGACTAGCGCCTCATGTTTCCTATGCCTCCTAGCTCCAGTTGCCAGTCTTTTTCTTTGCGGTCTGGAAAGAATATTGAATAGATCAGCATCCATGGTGGAATTGCCAACAATCATTGATTGAAGGTGCTGCCTATGGACTGCTTCCTGGTTGCCTCCAAGCGGGAGGCTCAACGAGGTAAAGGTGTAATGTGAATGTGTCTAGAAGACAGTCTTGCTTGGTTGAACCGATCAGCAGTGGTACGGTGGATCTTGCAGCTGCATTTGCATTCCTGTTGTCTTCAGCATGCCAACAGTGGAACCAGCAGCATGAAACTGGCTGAAGGCTACCTTCAGGGTACCTTCAGGCAACTGAAGTTCACAGATCTTCAATCCGGAAGAAAAGGGACAGGCAAGACACACTTGTGATTATGCGTACTGACTTGACAGCGGTGCCACACGCCGGCCTAGGTAACCATTTCCTAAGAGTACAGGTAAAGCCCAACGGAGGCTGGTGGTCTTCAAACGAAGGTGAGGCCCAAAGCGCAAGCACCAAATCGACGAGTTCGGATCGACAAGATGACGGCGTTCGTGCACATCTGCAGAACTCACTAGCACTTTACCGGAAAGTAGGGTAAAAGCTGGTAAACGCCACAACCAAGCAGGTACGTCCAGAAGGCGTCCCTTCCGGATATCAGCCACATTGCAGCCCTCTTCGTTGGGCAATCAACTGCAATGTGGGATTGCCCCCCTGCTTACGAATCAAAACTCAAAGCAAACACTCCAAAAGGAGCCTTGTGACTCCAAAGGTTACACACACACACACACGCCTCCCGAGGGGAGGCGAAAACTAAGGTTA